CTTCACTCTCCAGCTTTCCCATCCATACACAGAAACTGGAAATACTAGGGCATAAATGATCTTGACTTCAGAATGAATTTGTTGTTGTTGTTGCTGTTGTTGTTGTGTGCAAGTAATTTTTGACTTATGGTGACCCATAAGTCATGGGATTTTCTTGGCAAAATCTCTTCAGAGGAAGTTTGTCATTGCCTTCCCCTGAGGCTGAGAGAGTGTGACTTGCCCAAGGTCACCCAATGGTTTTCATGGACAAGAGGAGAATCGAACCCTGTTCTCCAGAGACATAGTCCAATGCTCAAATCACTAAGCTACATCGGCTCTCTGGAATCAACTACATTGCAATGAACTATGGCAATGCCAGCTCTCTGAAATGAACACCACCTGCTAAATTTGGCTTAAAATTTGGCAACAGACTGTTATCACACGGGGCAAATCTGCTGGTTAATCCACACAAATCCCAAACAGAAATTAGATTTGTGCCTCACAATTTCACACGACGTCGCACAGAAACTGGACAGAAACTGGTGTTATCTGAGATCTTTTGAAATTCGGTAGTTTTGGGGAAATGCACTTGCAAAATTACAGTAATTTCACATTTACCGTAATGTGAAAAGCAAATGCGCATTTGGGAGCATTTCCCTGCTTTTTCCCATGGTTCCACGGCGAGCATTCCTCTATCTGCGCATGTGCAAGAAGATCATTTCTAGTACATTTACGGGCTTTTCTCACTTGTGTGTGAACGTTAAATGCGCTTACTGTAATTTCGCAATTAAGGTAATTACGTGTGAAAGCCATTTGCGGAATCAAGGTTTATTTTCTGTTTATTTTCGGAATGCTTCATTTCCACTTTATTTTCGCTTTCTGGCCCACGTGTGAGAATGTCCTAAGGGCTGAATTCAGGAAGCGACCTACCCATGTGGAGTCAGCATTGCTCATGTGGTGCCATGACCTTGCCATAGAGCGATGGATGAAGGCAGCAGGCAATAGCAGAAGAGAACTACTGTGGAACATGATGTTCTGCAACAGACATCTCCAGGAGGCCATGGTTGTGCACTGTGGCGCAACCAGCAACATTGTGCAATCTGTGCGCAACGTCAGAAGTATCATTGCGCAATCCATAACACTGCACAATGGCGCTGGCCAGCCCAATACGCCACAGACAGACAGACAGGTGCACGCAATGCAACAGGTGCACACAATGCAACACGCAATGCAACATGAAAGCCTACGACTTCACAACATGTTTTGGTTTGCTCATTGAGGAATTTAAACGTATGTCCATGTGCATTACCCTGTGTTGTTACTCTGCATGGGGGTGGTGTACAATTTTGTATACATGGGGGTTGTGTAGCACTCAGGGTGATCAGATACCATACGGAGGACAAAGCACCGCAGAATGTAGGACAGTCAAGTACAAGGTGGGACATTACAAAATAAAAGCCTAAAACACTAACAGAAACATAAATTCATTTCACGTAGTTTATTTGCAGCTACAGTCAGCCCTCCATCTCCACAGATTCCTTATCCGTGAATGCAACCATCCACAGTTTGAAAATATTAAGAATATATATACTGTATATACTCATGTATAGTCCTCCCTCCATTTTTTCAGACTTGGGATCCGCATCCCTTGCTTATCCGTGGGAGACGAACAGAGGGGGACAAAATGGGACGTGCGCCCATGAATCTAGAAATTTTAGTCAAAAACCCCTGAATCGACTTATCCATGGGTCAATGCAAGTACTGTACTTTAACTCTTATTTAAAAAGGAACCATCCCCTGGTGAAAGGCAAGAGCATAATCTGTCCTGAAAGCACTGACACTCCTCTACTCTCTCATTCATCCAGCCTTTAGCGTAACTTATTTGACATTATTTTCCTTGGCTTCATCCATTGGATCTTTTGTTACATGCCCCTAAGTTTTACCCTCGACTTATCCATGGGTCATATCAAAATCCATCACTTTGGCCCTAAAATCTTCTCTTGACTTATACATGAGGTTGACTTATAGTTGAGTATATATGGTAAATTTGAAAACGCAAACCTTGATGTTGCCATTTTATACAAGGGACACCATTTTACTATGCCATTCTGTTTCATGAGACTTGACCATCCATGAGTTTTGGTATCCATGAGGGGTCCTGGAATCGAATGCCAATGGATACCAAGGGTCCACCGCATATTACATATAGCTATATTTTATTATGTACTCAGCTTTATTTTTGTGATGAAACTATCTCCATTCAAATGCCTTGTTGAGCCTGCAATATAGAACTCGGAGCAAGACAAAGATTTAAAATTGTACTTTACTAGCAACAAAGCCTTGACTGAATCTGCATTTAAATGATTCCTTTCATTTCTCCACTGTGCTGAAATTAAGGGGGACTTTCAACATTTGCATTGTGTCCGCAAGCAACCCAACAGGTTTTCTATCTTTTTCCCCTCCAAGAAACAAACTTGCCCTGAGCTCTGGGTGCAAGTTTTGTCTGCTGCTGTTTCTTGGGAAAAAAGAATTTGAGAAGGATACATCCTATCCCCCTGTTTGCAGCAACAACAGGCTGTTGAGTAGATATTTCTCGAAGGGGAACGCCAACAAACTGGATCTCAAAGGCAGTAGCTTTTTGTCTTGCAAATAGAATTTAGAGTTTGTTTCCTGGACTGCATCTCCCAGTATCCACATGGCCAGAAGGAGAAGGGGCCCACCTGCATGAATACCCTTTCATACCATCTGAATTGAGGACAACGACCACAACATCTTGAACAAATGCAGGGCTAGGACTAACATTGTCAATTTTTTCGCCCTCCAGTATCATTATGACAGTGTATTTCTGTATACAGTTCTTTGCACTATACTGAGGGCTTACTGAATTGTGGTTTATTTAAATTTATTTTTTTAAAATACATGATATATAAAATATACTAAACAACATCAAATAGTCATAAAACATCATTGTCAAATACATATATTTGCAATTGACTTCCCATGTTTATCCAGTTTGTATACAACCTTTCTCATTTAAATCTTATTGTCTTCACTTCAAATACAATATTTATTCTAGATCCTCCGTGTGTTAAACCAACAAAATTCTATTATTTTTGATCATTTTATCTAGACTATTTTTTTCTTCCTTGAAAAAAAAAGTCATTACAATTTTAAACTCTCCTTACAGTATAGCAATATTGGGGCTCAGTCCTGTTCAAAACATGTGTTTATTATTCCTTCCGATGGCAAATAAAGACATTCTTGTACTGGAAGACCTTTGCAAACCGATAAGGGCTGGGAATGTTGTCCTAACTGAAAATTTTAAAGTTTGTATTTTTAACATATTCTATTGTAACTCATACCTGTTCTAACTTTTTAAATGGTTTAACTGTTGTTGTTTTTTTTAAAGTTTTATATTTATGCATTTTAATGTTGTATTGTTTTTAAACTGTGTTGTTTTAAATCTGCTGTTCGCCGCCTTGAGTTCCTGCATTGGGAGAAAGGCAGGATATAAGAAAATAAAATAATAATAAAAATAAAAATAATTCTCCTAACAGAACATGCAAGAAACAGAACAAGCAACTCCGTACCGCAGAAAGTGGTTTTACAATAAGATCCTCTTAGTTGGCTTCCCATCTTGCAACCAATATTGATGCATTCAGTAGTTTTTTCAGCATTTTAAAACATTCAGTCCATTTTGCTAGATTTTCATCCACTCTCCCCCCCTCTCTCCAACCACTTTTTTTTTTTTGGCAGGATGAAACATTTCATTCCCTTTGCCACATAGGCATTTAAAACAGCTAGCACTCGTAGCAAAGGAAAGCTGAGCAAACCATGCTTAAAGAGCAGAAACTAATAAGAGGGATCCATTAATGAACAATTCGGTCGTGCGGCAAAAAACCGAAACGAGTTAAAATAAGAAGAGTGAAGGGCAGGTAACATAAAGTGAATGCAGGGGAATTGAGGCACCCAGCCTGAGAAATAGGCATCTCAGCTGAATGCAACTATTGTGTAGCTGGATCAATGGTCTGAGAAGACATTAGGCAAGTATACTGTTGCAGCATTATAAAAGCTAAGCATCAGGGCTTGCATGAAAACCTCCCTGAGGACCAGAGGAAACGTGATGCTCGGTTCTTGATATTTTCTTCGCGATTTCATTAGTGGAGTTAGCTTTGCAGCAACCCTGGGCTTGTCTACACTATGACTAAAGACATGGAGGCAAATCTCAGCCCAGAGCCTTAGCAAGAGTGGCCCTTCTCACGGAGGCTGCCTCTGCACTGCACAAATAATGCCGTTTGATGCCACTTTAAATGCCACAGCTCCATGAAATGGAATCCCGGGGATTTGTAGTTTGTTGTGGCCCCATGGCTCTCTGACAGAGAAGGCAAAATATTTAATAAAACTACCGATCCCAGGATCCCATAGGATGGAGCCGTGGCAGTTAAAGTGGTGCCAAACTGCATTATTTCTGCAGTGCAGATGC